GGTCCAGACTTCCTGGCGTGCTTGAGCCTCTGAATTGCCTCCTGTTGGAAGTCGGATGGCCTCAGATTCCTCTTTGGCAGCATAATGAAAAAGGACTTAAACTTCCCTGCTTGCTATCTCACCCTTGTGAAGACTGAAGCTCTCGAAGAAAAGGCACTGTCCCTATGCACCCGTTCTGTTGCTCACCACAAGAAAGAAGGGGCCCAATCACATGTATGTTTAGACAGAAACAAGATCAGCAACTCCTAGCATGCCAAGCTGCAAGCTGTTTTCCTGTCTAAACATGCATAGGATTGAACCTTCCTGAAGTGCAAACTGCAACAGCCTATTCTGGTGTGGTGCACTTTGCTTGTTGTTTTAGATGCTCTTTGCATGTTCGAGCAATGGTGAGAGAGCTGTTTTTCCATGAGCTCAAGTTCAGGGACTACAGAGGCCTGGAGGCATGTCGGCGGGTGCCAAGGGAGTGGCTAGTTCTTCATGTAACTGTTGCTGAGCCAGGATTGGGGGGTTGGAGGAACCCACACATTTTGCTTGGCTTTTAGTGGCATCTGTGCCATGGAAATGATGCATAGGAAATTGGCTCTGGTATGCTGGTAGAAGATGTAAGTGGCACCCTAACCTGGAAGATTTCACTAATGGGCAGGTTATGTAGGACGAATCCTAGTACAGATTGGGATGGGGAGTTTGCTGATTAGGAATCCATGGGCAGCTTCAGCTTCCCTGTTGTCTTTTACCTGCTGTCTTCTTGTGTTCTGTTATGAAATCACATAGGAGGGCATGCTATGGCCTATAGTCCTAATCTGGCATGTACAGGTTGACCATCCAGGATGCAAAGGCTTGGGTGTCTCTGTGAACCTGATCTGCTCCTCCCACCAAGTACCACACTGACCTTTAAGGTACAGGGTGCTTTGGGAGGAGGTAGAGAGAGGAATCTTGTTCCTAATCTCCAATCTGTGATTATGGATAACAAGGGAATTGGGGTAGTGGCAGTGGTACACTTGTCCAGGGCTTGCAGGAGTTCCTGAAAGTGCCAGGAGAGTGGGCAATTGGCCGCTGACCAAGTGGTTTTGGCTGCAGCAAGCGCCTAGATGGCTTTTATGCATATGTCAGTCTCCCTTGAATTTGTGAAGAGGGCATCTTCTGCCTTTTAGCTGTGTAGTATAATCTTGATTTGTGTTTTGCTTGTTGTAAAAGAGTGTTGAAGAATAATTTAGTCCCCAGAAGAAGTAGAAGGGAAAGAAATCTAAGAATAGGTTTGAAAGGGTGGGCTGAGTGACATGGATTGGGAGCCATTGCTCTTCAACAGCAGCGTTGACAAGATGTCAATTTCCTTTGAAAAGCTCATCAAGCCTTTTAAAAAATTTCATCAGTGCTTTCCATCCCTCCCCCCCCCCCAATTCATATCCGTCTGGTTAAAAAATACTTTTTCTTTTAGAGAACATCTAGCTTTTCTAGAAGCTTCTGGATTCAACAGAAGAGGTCATATTCTGTTGTGCTATTCCCATTTTGTTCTCCTGGACTGTGATCGCACAGATTTCCAGAGCTCATGGTAATAAGGTAATGAGGTGATGGGAAGGGCAGGGAAGGAGAAATGAGTCTTGTCAAAGTTATTTCCCTTGTGGCTTGAGTCCTCTTCTCTTACAGATGGTTTTGTATTGCATCACAATAGAAACTTTAAAACGGCTCACTGCTAGGGCAGAGTGAGTTTGGTGGTCTTGTCTTGTCCTGTCTTTGGAACACATGGATGGGTCTAGCTAGCAACTGTTCTCCTTATTAATGGACAGCTGTGCATCAGCGAGGATTCAGCACCCTCATCTCATGGTGGATGATAGTAGCACACAGAGCTGAATGATTTGAACTGATGTGGTACAAAGTGGACTTGCAGCATACTTCTGCCAAGTTAATTGATTATGCTGGCTTGGATCTAAAAGACCTTGACATTTTATCTTTTGCTTTCCTGTGAGTGGTGGGGTGAGGCTCAAGGAAGAGGTCATCATTGCCAGGCAGGCAGTGGTGTTGATCCTGCCTCAAAATGTCCCAGTTGATAGAATATGGGAGCTGAGTCACCGGAACTTGTTGTACATCAGATGGGTCTGAAAGACCTACCCTGGCTCTCCCTTGCAACTGTGGAAGGAGTAATGGGGCAATTAGAGCTTCTTAACAGGGCTTTCAGTGAACCCAACTGGAAAATACTCCCTTAGTGTTTCTGTTTCTAGTATGTAATGCTTTTTCTCTTGATGGCTTTAGTCATCTGCCTATCACCCCTGTAAGAAAGGTATATTTTAATCCCCCTTATGCAGATGGAAGGCTGAGAGAGAGTGGTTTGCCTTGCAAATTCATTGCGGTGGGAGGGGGGTGGATTGGGGGTGATTGTTAAACCAAGGATTTCCTGATTCACAGCTCTGTTTCATAGCCATGATGGTCCACAATATTACTGTAGTGTTGGAGGGCTTCTGATGAAATGGGGGAAATGGGTGGCATCATCATTTGTTCGGTTGAACCATGGAGAGATGGACAAGGGAAAGGGAAAATCTGTGTGGAGGCTGCCTCATCTTTGGAATGGGCTAAGACGCTGGAGTCCACTTTAGTACTTCAAAGAATAAGTACCATATTAGTTTCCCCTTTCAATTTGAGGAGGATCATGCTCATCCTAAATTCAGGAGACCTGCATAGGTCTTTGCCTTTTGTTTCATATGCTAATAGGCTCCTTCTGGTTGCTTCTAGATGAATTAAAAAGGTATCTCACCTTTGCCAAGTTGTGGGAAAACATGAGTGGGTTACAAATGGAAGATGACTTCTGGACATCCCACCTGCCATAAAATTCCATGAAAGAGACAGGCCAAATGAACTATTAAAACCTTACCTGGAAACACCTTTTCTCTTTGTATATATGCATTCCTTTACCTTTCCTTGTTTCCACATCCAAAATATTCAGAATTTAAGGAAATCTGCCCAGATTTTCCATAGGCTCTGTAGCTTACTTTGTTTCCCTTCCCTTTCCCCACATCTTAATAGAAGTCTTATATGCTGCGTTTGTGTTTATGCAATACGTGCTCTTTTTTAAAAGACACCCCCTTATCTTTTTCTTTATGCTCCCATAGAAATGCTGTTTCCTGACCTTCTCCCAGGTTATTCAAGTGCTTTGGATATCCTTTGAAGGCCTTGTCCCAAGCCTTTTGCAGACTTGCACCTGTGCAATTCCTGGCTTTCTTGTTTTATTTAAGTTACTGCAGCGCAGGTTGGTGATTGAAAAAAGCAACATAACCCTGTCTCTTATTGTCTGGTTGCAGACAAACATATTGGAAAGGCTGGGTGGTAATATTTGGAACACCATGCTCTTGCAGTTGCTGCTCTGGTTTAAAGGATGGAAATTAAGTATTTACATTAAGGTTGCTAGTGTCAGAGGAAAGAAGAGGAGGATTCAGCAGGGAAGGAGGAGGTGTTTTTACTAGGTCAATAGCATATTTTATTCTTTGTGGTCTTTGTGCGTCCTCCCGATCTGGCATCTTGGCTTGACTTACATATCAGCTTCCTCCCAAGTCCAGTGTGGCAGGATGTGTATGTTTACATTTAGGTCTACATTCGTTCAGATTGTAGGTTGCAGGGTGTAATTTTTTTAGAGTAGACTTTTCTGTATTTTTAAGGGATGAGAAAAAGGGTTTTCCGATACCATAACTTGGAAGGAGGGGGAAAATATCTGACTGTTCATTATATTTGTAACCCTTTCTTTTATGCCCTAAACAGTTGGCGATGGTAGTGGTGGTAATGGTTGGGTGTTGACCTTTTGAAATGTCTTTAAAAAACCTCTTACAGCTTTAAAGATATTTGCTTTATATGTGTGCTCCATTTCCACTAATTTTGCAGAAATGCCACAATGGAAGCAGTAAAATTAACATTTTATACCTTCCCCAAAAAGAAAGATAGCTAAAATATAATAGATTTTGCAGTGTTTGTGGACACATGCATCATTGGAGACCTGTCAAGCATAGAAAATTCAAATTAGACTTGGTGATGCTACTTTGTGGGGTTAGGAATATATTTGCCAGATGCACAGAAACGTTATTAACACTGATTTTATCTCAGGCTCACTCAACTTGGTGCCGTCCAGATGTTTTCAGATGCCTGCTTCCGTTATTGCTGACTGTTGACCTTGCTGGCTAGGATTAATGGGAATTGGTGTTCAAACGGTCTGGAGGGCATCTGGTTGTGGAAGGCTCTTGTATAGGGGAATGGTGGGATGAAGAATCTAATGAGGTAGTTTTGGACCAGAGTACCTCAAGAACAGCCCTTTCTTGTAGGGACCTGCTTGTTTGCAGGGGGCGGGTAGCTATCACGGATCAGGTGGAAAGTGATGAGGAGGAAAGTCTTCTCAGCAGTGCTGTGAAATTCCTTCCCTAGAGACATTCTCCTGGTGCTTACCCTTCTGCCCTTTCTGCAGCAAGTTTAGATGGTTTTATGTGGTCAAGCTTTGTCTAAGAACTTTGTATAAGTTGTTTTAAGCATTAGGTCACCATGTCACTGATGTTTTAACTATTTTTGATATCTCAGTCCTTTGAGAGCTGTATTTTCTTGTTTTATGCTATTTTTGTTCATTGCTTTGGATAATACAAGTATGAGGATTAAATAAATACTCAAGTGATCTAACTTGGTGAGTGTCTTGTTTGAATGTGTGTGATTCTCTGAGAACTGTTGTAAGATTCTTGATATGTTTCTGTGTATGTATGTATGTATGTATGTATGAGAGAGAGAGAGAGAAACATTTTGTATATTTTGAAAAAATGTAGGTGCTGATATCTCAGCATGATGATTTTTAGCACATTTCTCAAAATATTCATTGTATGGAATTCTTTTATTTTTCAGAGGTATTCTTTCACAGCCACCTATAAAACAACTACACACTGTCCTGCACTACCTGTTGTTTTTCCACCCAAGCATAAAATAGAACCTTTGGAATTAGGATTTTAATTTTTCCCCCCTCTTCCCTTTCTATTTTTTTGCAGCATTATCTGAGGAGGTTGATGTCTATGTTGCACCACTTCCAAAGATTGGGGAACAAGCCCTGGAGAGCTCTACCTCACAAATATTGTGTAAGATTCTTGCTAATGCCCTTCTTTTCCTCAGATGTATGCCCCTAGTTCAGTGATGACCGTATTGCTTGGTTCCATAAATGCTGTTTGATGGACCGTTTCATTTTGTGACCTCCCTAAGATGGCTGCCACTGTACTGCAGTTTGTCTTGACTGAAGCTTGTTCAGTAGGTTATCTGGGATGATCCAAAGAGGATCCTGCATAACTATTAGAGGTTTGTGAGCTATCTGAAGCTTCCCTTGGATTAATGTAGGGTTTTGGTGGGGTGGTTTTGGTTTTTGTTTGAGATCTTTCACAAAATGATTGAAAGATCTTGGATAATTGTTCTAAGGCAATCTGAGGGCTTGGCAATGTTATTTGTCCATCCTTTCCACCCTCTCTTGGTTTCCTGTGTTCCTTCCCTTCATCAGGAACAGCAGCAAAGACTTGTAGCAAGATGAGAAGAGGGCTAGACATTTTTCCTTCCTTCTTTCTGTTTGTCTGTTCACCTGTGCATCCCTCCCTCCCTCCCTCCCTCTGTTTCTTGACCTAGTCCAGCCCTTCCCAACTTGTTGTTCTTCAAATATTTTGGGCTGCAACTCTCATCATCCTCAGCCAGCATGGACAATGGTCAGGAATATAAAAAGTTGTGGTCTAAAACTTCTGGAAGGTACCAGGTTGGGAGAGGCAGCCCTAACCTTGGCCAGGTGGGTTGCTGGTGACCCTGGGACACACAGTTGCCCCAGGGGCTGCAGCCCCAGGAGAAGCACAGGGTCCTGGGCATTATAGTGTGCCACAGGCAGTTTGTCAGAGCATCTGAGGGAAGAAGGAAGAGAAGGAAAATGGACAGACTACCTCTTCTGGCCTTTCTTGTCACATGCCTCCACTGCAGCTGCCACTAAAAGAACTGAGGAGAGTGCATTTGCAGATGGTAGTGTATAGGATTTGGAGGCAGGGAGGGTGTAGGGAATTCTTCCCTTGCATGGATTTTGATTTGAGGTGCATGGGAATGCTAGTTCTTGTAAAACTTGCCTCTCATGTTGAAGCAGCCTTTATGAGCACCTGAAATTCATTTTCAAGCCTAGCTCAGGAGAACTTTGCCAGCTTCTCTAGTACTAAAACAGCTGTGGCATTGAGAAAGGAAAAGAAAAAAAATGTTTAAATTCTTTATTCAGTGTGCATGATTGCTCAGGTTACCCACCATTTAAAACAGTCTGATGCATTATGGGTTCAGGAGTGGGTTAACACTGTTTGCAGTCCCTCTGCCCATATGTGTGCCTTAGAAAATCAGGCTGTTTGCATCAGTAACATTTCAAAGGGGCTGTGCTTCTGCAGGGAAGAATCCTTTGGGGTGCATGTTTTTCCAGTAGGTCAAGGAATGGGCATGCAGGATTGGTCTCGTGCCCTGCGTTTGCCTGCCTGTGTTCCACAATCCTCCTACACCTTGGAGAAAGTTTCCAGAGGTTTTGTGGGCCATTTTTTTGTGTCATGGCCACATGTAAGAGAGTTGTTGGGACTGCCACCTTGCTCTCTTGGTTCTCTGTGTCTTCACTCTGTCACCATGATTGTTTTAGTATGCCATGCTACCAGTCTTTAAAAAACCTCTGTGTGTCTATGTGAATGAATGAGAAGGATGGCTGGTGATTAAATATGTTTTGAGGCTGCCTTTTTGTCTCCACCAGATTGTGTCCTTTCTAACTTGTGTGTTATGTTTTGGTCTTTGCATTTTCTTGCCTACGAGTAAGATATTTGTGACCAGATGAATGCTCTCTGGAAATTGGAGAACCTATGTTTTCTATGGTTGCACTTTATTTATGTCTACCTTAGGAGCATTTGTTCTACTCCTCAATGTCTGACATCTTTGACTGTTACTTATTGTCATTTTCCACTTTTTGAGCTCTTATTTTGCTACTAGCTTGGGGTGCAACCATGTTCCTTGCATGGCTGTGATGTTCTGCCTATGAAATTTTGGAGGTTTTCACTTGGTGCCCCAACCGTCACAGGTCAGATGGGCAAGCTGGCCAACAGTGTCATTGTCCTTACAGAAGGACAGCAGGGCCATGGGGGATAGTTCCAAGCCTCTCAACAGATACCTGAAACTTCAGATAGTAGGAAACACTACTTTTGAAGGTGTTAGGGGTGCAGGACTGCCACAAAAATGGAAAAACCATGAATATCTCCAGGGAAAAACTGCAAATGTCTCAAGAGTCTTCATGACCACTGAGAGACAAAATACGTGAGTGAGGTTGGCTTAGTACCAAGACAAAGAGCAAGGCATCCCCAAATAGAGTGCATAGTTCCCTAGAGATATTTGCGTTTTTTCCACTTTCATGGGAGACCTGTGCCTTTAACTTCTGCAAATGTGGAGGGCTGGTCAGTCTCAGTTAAATGAAATGGTGGTAACTGAGACAGTAGATATGGGGATCCTGCTCTCTATGCAGTCATGATTACCTCTTGTTCAGACATTCTTTGCCTGCGAGTAGGATTAGGCTTTTCCAGAGTCACTTACATGTGAATCTATGCAACCTGTTTTGACCAAGTGATACATTTTTATGTACACCAGTGATCCAGTTCACTTGTAGCAGCAGCAAATCATTGGTTAATTAATGTATTATTAGTTCAGTGCATATTGTCCAGACTACAAGTAGCCTGTTGTGTCCATGATTCAATGTCATTTGGACTGAATGGAGGTTGAATGCTCAAACAGGCTGTGGTGTATAATGTAGCAAATTGTGGATTAAATTAACCCATAGTTTAATTAATCCAGAGTTTGCCTCCATGATGTAAGAACAAGTCTTCTGTTAAGGAATTAGTATGTTATATTATAGTATAGTATATTAGTATTAAATCATTTGTGAAGAATGTTATTTTCCCCCTTCGCTTGCATGCCCCACAAATTAATTTTTAAAACCTGGGGCTTTGAGGTATTTGACCCTCACCACTGTTCTATCCTGAATTGATGTAGTTAGTCCTCTATTTTGTGTAGGAAGTCCTCTATTTGGATGGGCCTTCAGGTCTTGAATATAATTTAGTGCCCCCCCCCCCCCCCCAGTTGAATTGACAATGGTATTACTGGGTTAGGAGAAGTGGATCAAGAGCTGTCAGAAGACCTGATAGATCTACCTTCACGAAGAAACAGTTTGAGTTGGTGCATAATATCTTAAAGGGAGCATCTGTAGTAGCAGGTTCAGGCTTGCTTCTTACTTCATGATTCTGACTCCCCTAAATATGTAGCAGATGGTTGTTATGAAGAGGTGAAATAAACCCAGTTTGTGCATACCCAGAAGTCCTATCTCTTTGTTTTAATTATTTTCTTCTTCTAGGACAGAGTGGTGGTGCAGAAAACCTTTTTCTAGACTGGCTTCACAAATTGTTGGGGTGGAGCATGGTTGAAACAAAACACAGTAACAGGAGTGATAGCTACCAGTTTGGATGGCTGCTAGTAGAGAAGGAGTCTGTTAGTGGCTACTATCCTGGCTGGCTGCATCTGTTATCAGAGCTGGCATGCCTGCATACACTGCTTGCTCCCATCCTCCTTGAGGGTTCCTGTGGGCAGCTGGTTTGCCACTGTGTGAATGGAATGTTGGACTCAATGGACCTTTGGTCTGATCCTGCATGGCTTTCCTTATGTTCTTGTACAATTGGACTGGGCAGGGTTGCAGCATGTGGAATTCATTTTTATTTTGATCAGAATGCTCTAGTCAAAGGCAGGTGCAAAATAGTGACTTGGGGGAAAGTCAACTATATACCTTATCCCCTGAACCATGCGTGCATGCACACACACAACAGAGAGAGAGAGAGAGAGCGAGAGAGAGTTTTATTACCATAGATCTGGTATTCTAACAGATCACTTTAAAACTGGTCAACAGACCTGAACAAAGACTGGTGAAAAACAACCAATTAGTACTCCCATTTTATGAGGAACACTGATGCCTAGAGTTAGGCAATAAGCACAAGGCCAACCAGGGTTGAAGGATTTTTTAATATTTTCCCTAAGCTAGTTTAATTCCCAAACTAAAGTAATAAACCTGGAAGATCTACTTCAAATCCGTCTACCAGCGGATTGCAGTCTACGTTCTGCCTTCCCTTGGAAAAGAATACTTAGTTCATTTTGCAATTAGATGTAGCATGGAGAAATAGTATTAAAGTTGGTTAGTGGGGGCTGGGGAGCGCTGACTTTTGAAGAGGAGGAAAAGGACTAGGAAGAGGAAGATCTAGAAAACCATCTGTGTAAATTCCATTTCTGGGCTTGCCAATTTGACTGGCAAAGCAGTGTCAGACAAGGATTTTGCCCTGTCTGCAAAATGTGGATAATTTTTGCCCAGTCTTTCAGGATGTGGCTTTAAAGAATCTGCTTGGACTTACTCAGCACATTCACACTATAAAACAGGAAGTTTAGGAAGACTCACCACAAAAGAACATCCAGTTGTGCAAGAGCTCACTGTGGCACAACATGGTATGCCATTGGATCCTTGAGCTCCCTCCGTGCCTCAGTTTGTATCCTCTGTGATATTAAACTTGATGTGAGATCCCTGTTTTAAAAAAATCTGTAATGTATTTTCTCTTGACTGCTGCCATCGGAAAGAGGAGATTTCTGGTAATGCTTCTGTGATAGGAATAGGAAAATGGGGTTCTCTTTGCTCCTTCCAGCAGCTCCTTTAGAAATGATCACCTCCTCTACAAAAGCATCCCCCATGCCTTTTGCCTCCAGTATAGGTCATTCATTTGTGAATGCAGTGAGGTTATGCAAGGAATAGTTCGAAACCACAGTAGAGGAGAACCTCCTTGAGCATTCCCATATGTAATTTCTCCCAACCTAGTTTTGTTGTGGGTGAAAGTGAGGAATATACTTTTGTGCATTCATAAGGCTGTTACTTGTTTGATTGAAGCAATTCCATGCATCTCATGAAGTACATGTTGGAGCAAATACTGGAGTAGTTACTAGGGAGTTACCAGATCTGAAGAATTTGAAGTTACCAGAATTTTTTAGAATCAAGTCTCAGTTTCTACTTTTCTCATTC